GGTGAGGGGGGCCGGTGTTGAACTTGTGCTGGGGGCCGGGCCGAATTCTTCCTCCTGAACGGGAGTCACTACTTTCCGGCTCCTTTGTCTGGGGATGGAAGGGCTCTTTGGGTGAGAGTGGAGGACTTGCTGTGGGATCCCAGCTGGGTGCACAGCGGACCCTCCAAAGACACCCCCAAAATGTGAGCGAAGTGTCAGCTTCTGAGGCTTGAGCATAGTCTCGTACTTTGTCTCACACCTTCTTGCTCCCGGGTTATTATACCATCGTAGCCTCATCAGTGGGTCTGACAGTTTAGCTTTTTTTGGTTGGCAAAAGTATTTTCCACTCCTGTGCCTCCACTTTGGACAAAAACCCTTTGGTTTCAGTAGAGCAGATACTTTTGCTTAATAGAGGAGGCACCAGGCAGAGGAGTCAGTGACTGGCTTCCAGTTCTCCTAGAAGTTTGGTCTGTGACCTCTTATATCAGAATCCACACCCCGCCCCTACCTGTCTTGTTGGATTTCTAGATTGTACCCCAGTCTCAACTAGTGATAATTATTTAGAGATGGGATCCAGCAAGCTACGTTTGGACTAAGATTGCAGGGTGATTTTTCAGAACCGTTGAGCGTCTTTTTCCCATATTAATTTAATGTAGATTAAGCTCAGAGAAAAACATTTTAATTTCCAGATCAGAGAGTGCCGTCTTCCAGGACGTCGTTGTTTCAGGCTCCCTTCAGTTGCAGTGTTTGTAGGGATGACCAGGAGTACGGTGGTGGGAATTTTTTTTTTTTTAATATTTATTTATTTATTTGGTTGCACCGGGTCTTAGTTGCAGCAGGTGGCCTCCTTAGTTGCGGCTCCAGGGCTCCCTAGTTGTGGCATGCGAACTCTTAGTTGCAGCATGCATGTGGCATCTAGTTCCCTGACCAGGGATGAAACCAGGGCCCCCTGCATTGGGAGCACGGAGTCTTATCCACTGGGCCACCAGGGAAGTCCCGAGAATTTTAAGCTCATAAATCTGAGTCACAAGATAGATCTAGGCCCTATCATGACTGCTTTCTTGCCCTTAGCTCTGTCTTCCCAGGATTCTCCCTTTTCCCAAGAAAAGAGCACAGAAGAGGGAGAAGTGGCAGCTTTGCGCCTCACAGCCAGGTCGCAGGTGAGTGAGTCTCTGCTGGTTATTGAAATTCCACCTTATTTCTCGGAGTGCAGACGCACTCCCTTCTTTTTGATGTGGAGTTTCTGTGTCCACTAGAGCTGAATTCTAATTCTAAGAGACAACTCGAGTGACTAAAGGGCTCAGTGGAAAATGTTTTCTGCTTCTTCGTGGTATCTTGTCCGTCTAGTATTTATTATCACTCAGCAGGCATGGAAGGAGCATTGCCCTTCTTTAGCCCACTAGCTAATTTCTATGCCTGTTATTTGGGAAACGATTTTAAAAGACAATGTGGTGCATACCTCTTAAAATGTATGTTTCACTAGGGGAAACAACATACACATGACTGTTAAGTAGGAATTTAAGAAAACACCTGAAGTGCTAGAGTGAATTATGAACATAGTGAGTACTCAAATAGTTCAAAGGAATGCTGGAAAAGGAAGCCTATAGAAGATTTAATTTAAAGAGTTAGAATCCAGCCCAACAAGATGATGAATGCGGATGTATTTTAGAGGTGAACTGTTACTCTCACTTCCCCAAGGGCAAATATTAAGAATTGCTGAATTTAAGCGGTAGTTGTATATGGGTGATTAGTGTGTTAGTCTCTCAACTTTTTGTATGTCTGAACATTTTTCTTAAACCAAGTTGAGTGGGAGTGTGTGTGTCATACCACAATGCAAAGATTCCTCCACTAGCCTCTCTTTTTGCAACTTTAATCCAAAGTGTGAAAGTGGACATTGCACATTGCTGCCCTTTGCCAACGTGATTTCTCAGGATCCTTGTATACTTGCTTGCCTCCATTGGTTTCTTGAATACCTTACGTGAATATTGAAGACTTTGTCAAGAAGCTTTAAGTTGCCCCTGATGAAAACTCGATTCAAACCGGCTTAAGCAAAAAGAGGTATTTATTGACCATTATAAGTGAAAAATCCAGGTCTGGCTAAAATTGAGTTCAGGCAGTGACATTAGAATCTATTTTCTCCATTTCAGTGACCTTTCCTTTTCTTTCTGTGTGTTTTGCACTCAAGCAGGCTTTTCTTCTCATGCAGGGTAGCCCCTAACAAATGTAGGCCTACATCTTCCCATTTTGAAGATCAGAGAAAAGGGGCATCTTCCCTTCTGGTTGTTCCAGAAGAAGGACTGAGGTTAACTCTATAATGGGTATTAGGCCCATTGTTGGACCATTATTGGCAAATCTGAGTGTGATGATCAGACTAGAAAATATACCTGTACATACACATACAAACACACATCCCACCCATGGGTCAGAGATGGAGCTGTACTACCTGAACTGCATGGACTAAAAGTGGTCAGGCATAGCAGCCAGAGGAAAGTCAGAGTACAGGTACCAGAAAAAAGGTGAATGCTTTATACATTTCAGCACATTAATATTAGATTCAAGACTGCTTTTATAGCTTCAGAATGGATTAAGCCTTTTATGGAAATTTTTAAAACTGTCCTTTTTGCATTGCATTGGATTTTGTTTGATGCTAATACTGCAGCTGTCTTTCTTACTAGAATTTACCTGGGCTGTTTATCTTTTACTTATTAGACTTTTTTAATAATTAGAGTTTTAATTTTTGCTCATGGTAACCAGGTGAATGGTACAGACGTATGTAAATATTAAAGTATATTACCCGTCCTTAGCTCCGCAAGTTCAGTCCACCACCCCTCCCTACTGAGGATAACAGTTTGGTGTATATTTTTCCATATGTTTTTGTTGAACTTGAAGTACTGTATTCAGATATGTAGTGTACTATATATTTCCTTCCATCCCCCGCGCCATCCCCAACTTTGGGGTTTTGTCTGGATCTCTTTTCTGTAAAGAGGATGTGGCTATTTTAAGAAACGTTTTTATAAGAGAAATTAATTTATTCATATTATTATGATTACTTGTATGTTTCACATTTTTCTTGCTATGATTTTTATAATTCTGCTTACTATGCTTTATTTCTTCTTTTGTATTTTTTTTCTGCCTTTTGTGCTGTAGTTTGCATTTTTGTTATTCTGATTTTTTTTTTTCTTTTATGGTTTGGAAGTTAATTTCCACTGTCAGTTTAGCTATAGATATGCAGATTGTAGGATCAAAGTCGTTTTTTCTCACAGTATCTTGTCTATTTAGTAGCTGCTTAATGATTTTTACATTTTATTTTCCAAGGATGATTCTTATATTTTTTAAGTCTCAGATTATTTCCATTTTGGGGAACTTTATTTTGAAATAATTTGAGACTTATAGAAATTTAGCGAGTGGTAGAAAGATTTCTCATATGCTCTCCTTTCACATTCTCCAAAATTTAGCATTTCACCCTGCTTTTTTTATTCTTTTTCCAAAATCGGGAAGTTAACATTGGTATAGTACTATAACCTACTGCTGTTATTCAGGTTTCCCAGCTGTCTTATTTTTCTTGTTTTTCTTCCCCTTAATTTCTGCTTTTATCCTGTAATTCCTTCTGTTTTCCCTAATTTGTTGTTGGGTTCTGTCTCTAATTTGATTTGTATGCTTTGTTCATTTAATTACATTAATTTTCTTTTAATGAAATTGAAGTGTCTCCTCTGAGTACAATTTTAGCCTTATGGCATTGATTTTTGCATTTTATTTCATTATTATTTTGAAATTTTGATACATTTTTTCAGTTATCAGTAATTGCTCTTTCTTTTCTGTTTTGGAATTTATTAACATTTACTTTGTTACTTTTGCAAGTGCTTCATGAACATTTAAATAGAAGGTGTTTTCTATCCAGTTATAGCATTTGGTATATATTTATTTCGGTAACCTGGAATATTATTCCCATTCTCTATGTCTTTACTTAAAGAGACATGTTCAGTACTGGTATGTGTCTGTCTCCATACAGTTTTTGTATTTTATGTCTTGTATAAATAATCCTATGGTGTTTACTCATAAACATTTATATGTGATATCTGTACCCTTAATGAATTTGTTGCTGTCATTTTCCAATTTAATGCATCTTGCCTTGAATTGATTCCGTGCTTCACTGGATTTGGTGCCAGTCTGTTCATTCCATGGTGAGGACTCACAAGGAGAATTATACAGACACATGCCTTTTTTTCTCTGCTTATATTTTGTTTACTTTGCCAGACTACATTGTTGATTCATTGGTTCATGTTTTAACTCTTTGTTCCCCAGAAAAATTAGTCTGTCAGTGGAGAAACCGTGGTCTTGTTTCGTTTGGTTCTCATGTTGAATCTTGGACAGTGTGCCTGGCACATAATTGATACCCAGTGACTTTACATGGAATGTCCAGGACACATGAGAATGCTTGTCGTTTTTCACAGTGATTTCCCCCATTGAATACATCTATGCATCTACTCCAGGGCCAACAGAAACTGGGGCATGAAAGGGAGGCTGTGGAGTGACAGGTGGTGAACAAAAGTATGTTTTGTGTCTTAGGCATCAGTGACATTCAAGGATGTGGCCATGGACTTTACCCCAGAGGAGTGGGGGAGGCTGGATCCTGCACAGAGGGATGTGATGCTGGAGAACTACAGGAACCTGGTCTCGCTCTGTAAGGATGGTCTCCTGCCGTGACTCCGGCTCCTTCTTATGGGGACATCATTACCTTATTGACACTGAAGTAGCATAACAAAGCCAGTAATTGTAAAGTATTGATCCCTTTGGGCCTAGAGAAAATCTGTTTCTGCTCTGGGTTCTTGGTGAAATGTCTAGGCTTGTTTTGTATCTGGAGTCTTTGGATTCAAGTGACAGAAACCAAACTCACACTAGCTTAAAAGGGAATCAGATATATTGTCAGGAATTTCTTTTATTTACTTATTTTTTAATTACATGGTATAGCTTGTCCTGATCTCCTTGTGTGGCACAGATGGCCATTGGCTGCTCTAGGGTTACATTATTCTTCCAGTTAGAGAGCTAAGGAAATAAAGAAGGCTTCTATCCTGGGAGTTCCAGATAGGGTCACATGTCCATCAGTGAAGCAGTAACTCGAGCCAGGGAGATAGAGTATGCTCTGACCAGTTTGGATACTGTGCCCGCCTCGGGGGGGGGGGGGG